TTTTTTTTTTTTTTTTGTCCTTTTTGAGACCGGCCACACCGCGCTCAGCCAGTGAGCACTGTGAGCGCACCGGTCATCCCTATATAGGATCCGAACCCGTGGCGGGAGTGCTGCTGCGCTCCCAGTGCCGCACTCTCCCAAGTGCGCCACGGGCTCGGCCCGGATAATTTATGATTATCTTTATGCAGTTGTCCTAATCAGTCACAACTATTATCTGAGTTATTATGTTACTATTATATTATTTTACTTATTTATTTTGGCAGTTGACTGGTACAGGGATCCGAACCCTTGATCCTGGCATTATAACACTCTAACCACCTGAACTATGTTATATTATTTTAAATAGCACTGTGTCAGGTGCTCTGAATAACTTCCTTCTGTAAATTTACAATCTATTGATGAGCCAACATGGAGATACCAAAACAATTAGCAACCAAAACAAGTAAACAGTAACTAAATAGTTGCAATGATTGCTGTTAGAGCACAGCCTTATAACATCAAAGTCCTAGGTTCAGATCCACATACTAGCCAGCCGCCCCCCCCCCAAAAAAATTGTCATGGTTGAGCTGTAAATAAAATCCTGAGCTTCCTAGTGTAGTGAATTCTGATAATTTCATGTTGCCTCAGCATCCATTTTGAATATAAGTTAACTCTCTCATCCCAGAAGCAGGGCTTAGTCATCCTTGACACACTTTCTAGTTCTCCACCCTCCTCAATGTGGTAGACCCAGACTTCTGCCTTACACAGCTTCCTCCTGGTGACCACCTCCCTATGAGACAGCTGGATGCAACCTACTTGACTAGCCCCGCTGACCCCTATTTTCCACATGGACTGTGCAGATATGCCACAGTGGCCACCCATCCGTCACAGTGCAACCCCACAGACCTCTAGCCTGTTTGCTCTGAACCCTCTGATTAGAACTCCCCTTGGGAAATAGCTTGAGTAATGCCCTGAACCCCAACAAAAGCTTTAGCTTCATAGGTCCTCTCGTGCCTGTCTGCTGGTTGAGCACCCTATTACCTTCAGACTCCCTGTTTCCCTTAAGAGAGAGACCTTAGACCAAATTAGAAAGAAATTACAACAATTAAAATCCCAACATTTAGCAGTCAAAGTGAACATCATTATCAGAAAAGAGGAAAGATATAAAGGAAGCAACATTCTTCCTTGTCATAAACTTCAAGAAAAATTTCCCATGGGGCACTTTAGAAAAGATATAATAACCTCAACATCATTCCTACAGCAGATGCGGTAATGAATTCAATTGGCTTTTTCTTTCCACTTTGGATAAAAGCTGAAGGTATAACATTGAAGGAAGTCTTGCTCAGGACTCAAAAATATAGTTAGTGTGTAACAGCAGAAATTTGTGTGGTAGTAGCAGCATGCTCACACCAGCACATTTTTCAAACAGTATTCCTAAAAACATACTTTCTCAGTTGAGTTTTGATAAAATCTGTGTAGCAGAAGATTCTAAAACAGTACACCTCAATGAGCACCTCCACACTAAATTGCTATTCTGAGTTTCTGGAAGAGCCACATGTTCTAAATCTCACCTCAGCCTATGGTTTGGCTGAACACCCTTTGTTGAGACTGTTAGCTGAAACTAAAACTGTCGAGGCAGAAATAATTTTGTAAAGTTTAATGGGAGCCAAATGAGAGCATTGGCCTGAGAAACACCATTGGACAGAGTCAGAGAAGTGCTCCAGAGTTTATTACAAATAACAGAGGCTTTATAGACAGGAAAGACCGAAGAAAGTAGAAACAAAGAACAAAGAGTGGATTGGTCACTTCGAAATCACTTTCCTTGTCAGGTGGGGATAGGGAGACAGAACAGTAGAAAAATGCCTGATTAGTTAACTAATTAGTTAACTGGTTACTTCAGTCTATCTTTTTTGTCTAAGGATTAAAAAAATTAAAAAAATCATTATTGTTTATATTGAAGATGTAAACTGCCCTGTTTGGGGACATTGGCTATCTCTTTCTCCTGACTTCTCAGAAGGTCAGACCACAACCTAACTGACTTGGAACTTAGCATTTTAGTTTTTAGTCTGGTCTGCTGGTGCCTAGTGCAGGTACTTAGGCAATGCAGGAACTTATTACAAATTTATTTTTGTAATAGACACATTGTATGTATTTACAGGGTACAATGTCATGTTTCGATACACATATATGTTGTATAATGATCAAGCTCGATAGCCGTCAAAAAAAAAAAAAAAAAGATCAAAGCAGGGCACTGAGCCTCATGCATTTATCATTTCCTTGTGGTGAGAACACTCGAAGTCTCTCTTCTAGCTATCTTGTTATATTCAATGCCTGAAAAAAAAAAGATCAAAGCAGGGCACTGAGCCTCATGCATTTATCATTTCCTTGTGGTGAGAGCACTCGAAGTCTCTCTTCTAGCTATCTTGTTATATTCAATGCCCTACTGTGCAACAGAACACCAGGACTTAGTCCTCCTATCTAATTGTAACTTTGTACCACTAACCAGGCCCTCCCATCCTCCCTTCCCCTGTCCCCGTCTCTGGTAACCACTGTTCCACTGTCTGCTTCTAGGACATCAACTCTCTCTTTTCAGACTCCACATGTGAGTGAGGTCATGCGGGATTCGTCTTCTCAGGCCTTCTCGAACGCCGTGCAGTAAACGTCGGGCTCGTTTTTTCGACATGCACGAGTCCATCAGTGTCCCGCGCTGAGCTGCCACACCACCTGCACGACACCAGAAGAGACAACATTTTAGTTTACTTTTGCAGCTTCACACGAAGAGCCAGGGCATAGCCCAGAGAGCGCGGGCAGGCGATTGCGTCTGGGTAGTTCTC